AGGACATTGCTGTTAGGTTGGAGGACATTGCTATTGGGTTGGAGGACCTTGCTTTTAGGTTGGAGGACATTGCTGTTAGGTTGGAGGACATTGTTTTTAGGTTGGAGGACATTGCTTTAGGTTGGATGCCGTTGCTATTAGGTTGGAGGCCATTGCTGTTAGGTTGGAGGCCATTGCTGTCAGGGTGGAGGACATTGCTGTTAGGTTGGAGGCCATTGCTGTTAGGTTGGTGGCCATTGCTATTAGGTTGGAGGACATTGTTTTTAGGTTGGAGGACATTGCTTTAGGTTGGAGGCCATTGCTGTCAGGGTGGAGGACATTGCTGTTAGGTTGGAGGCCATTGCTGTTAGGTTGGAGGCCATTGTTTTTAGGTTGGAGGACATTGCTGTTAGGTTGGAGGTCATTGCTTTTAGGTTGGAGACCATCACCCTTTTTTCTGTGTTAAATCTAGCAGGTTCCTGACAACTTCAACAAAAACCTTGTTCTTACGTTTCTGCGTGGGACCAAATTCACTTGCTTTGACGTTAAGTGTCTCTAAAAATCTAGGAGCCAAATGAATAGCGCAAGCGCTTTTTGAAGAAGCGTGAGCTATCCTGCTTCCAGTAGGTAGTAGCGTAGTAGTAAGCTACTAGCTACCTACCTAGCTACTTTTTTTTCTACTGGCCAAAAATCAAACCGATTCTCTCACGTTCGACAAGCTTCTTCATGCGACGTTTGCAGCCTTGGCTTCTTCGATGGTCTCCAACATCTTGCTCAAAAAGCGGGCACCGGTCTTCGCCCAGCAGGGCTGTGCAAAGGAGCCTTCTGTGAAATCCTGGCGAAAGACAAGTTCAGAAAGTGGTACCAAGGGAAGGAAAACACAAGGGGAAAGACAAGAAAGAGAAATGACAGGTCTATTTGCATAAAGGAACAAACCCTCGACTTTCCGGCTCAAGAACTTTCTCGCGAACAAAGCATACATGCTTCACAACATCCACTTCTTGAAAACAGCACTCCCACATGATATCTCGCAATCTTCAAGGAAAGCTTTAAGCCAGGATGTTCTGCACATAAACCCTTCTGTCCCTCTGCATGTCAACAATTACCAGGGCCGTGTGCTCCGTAAATAGAGGAAGCCTCATCAGGACATCGCAATTCATTCTGCATGGTAGGCTAAGTTTCCCTAAAATCCAGGAACCACATGAGTTCAAGCGCTTCTTCAAGGTAGCTTCCTATTGCTCCTGCTTACTTTCCTACTCCAGCGACCTCTAGCGGCCACTACCCTATTTTTGGAACTAGTAGCTTCTTGTTACTAGTAGTAAGGCCAGGAGCCCCTAGTGGCGTCTTGTTACTACACCCTTGGGCAGAAACAAGAACTATGAACTTATCGGCCAAGCACCCATCGACAGGAGCAGCTTCTGCAGCAATGAAGTCATCATACTCTGTGCGGTCGCAGCAACCCTCCAAAAAGGCCTCCCAGCATCCATGACTTGATTTCTTTCAAATTGTCCGCGCCAAGTTCTTTTGTTCAGAATACTAAATAACAAGGTCAAAGCTATTAGTAACAAGTTCCACGCTAGTAGTAACAAGTGCCACGCTAGTAGTAACAAGTGCCTTACTAGTAGTAACAAGAAGCTATTAGTTAATTTAAAATTACTCAAAGCTTTGCCAAATCCGAACTTTTCCACCTTTGATCTTGTAAAAAGACCACATACACCATGTCTTGTCCTGATCTGCTAGAACTGCTCCAATGCGCGCACCGGGATCCTAGAGATGCAAATTGGAGCAAGCACAAATCTTGATCAGATTTGACGCTAGTAGTAACAGGTGCATCGCTAGTAGTAACAAGTGCCTTACTAGTAGTAACAAAGAAGCTAGTAGAAAACAGTGCCTTACTACTAGGAACAAGGACGCTACTAGGGGCTCCTGGCCTGACGCTACTAGGAGCAAGGACGCTACTAGTCGGCTCATCGGCTTATCTTCTTTCAGTCATTCTCTTCTACTTGAGCGGCTCGGTGAAAAGCATTTGAGTCTCCTCAACGCCTGCGATCTCCTTCAGTTTGGACATCACAAAGCTTGCGCAAGGGCCCTCGACCTTCATGAAGCTTTCAAGTCGAACAAGCACCGAAGCTTTTCCTTCTGACAAACGGGAGATACCCCACAAGCATGAATTCGTTTGCAAGACCATCCAAAAACATACGATTCTCTCACCGACCCCAGTTGGGGACATTTCTTCCTTCCTCACCCATTCTCCGTTTCATTTTCCATTTACATCTTTAGACCTTTCTTGCTGTGTTCTTTTTCTTCAGACCTTTCCTTTCTTCTTTAGACTTCCTTTTTTGATTTCATGTTTTCTTCTTTGCTTTCGCCAGAATCCCAATGCAACTCCCTTTGGGGCATGACTGCGGAAAACATCTTCAATCACCGCGAGGGGAAGACTTCGTCATTTTGGCTCAATTGACCATTGGCCTCCTCGGCATTCAATTCCAGCGAAAACCTCAACGTCGAACAGCTGTCTACTTGATGAGCGATGATGACCGCACAAAGGTGCATTTGGATATTTGCACAACATCCTCCAAAAGACAAACATTGAGACTGTCCAAATTCAGAAATGTTTCTTTTCACACAACCGGCCTTGTCTCATCACGCAAAGCCCAACTGAGAAAGCAGGAAAGAGACACCTTCGCACCACATGGTTGCTCAAGACACAAGAAGGAACCTAACAGCAATGGCCTCCATCCCAAGAGTGATGGCCTCCAACCTGATAGGAATGGCCTCCAACCTAGTAGCGATGACAAGCGTTTGATGCCCCAGTGCCCCGGACTGACTCAGAGGCACCTGAAACAGGCAAGCACTCCTCGCCATGGAAGATATGGAGAACCACTGTACAAACTGTTTGAAAAGTTGCTGCGGACATCACAAACACACGAAGTTTGGGCAACATTGCTGGAGTCTTGCAAACAGCAGTCTGCAACAAGAGCAATCTGCGTGGGAGCATTTCTTAAAAGCGCAGAATCGCAATCTTCATTGCTTCCATGGGGTAGAGAACTTCAGTTCGAACGATGTACTTCACCTAAGTATCACACAACGGACACAAACACAAAACTGCAAAACACTGTAAGAAGTCAACCCAATAGGAATGGCCTCCAACCCACTAGCGATGGCCTCCACCCTAATATCAATAGCTTAGGACTGCATTTACAACAAAAAACGGCCCAACATCCAAGCTGCTCCAGAATGAATTTCAGCACCCTCGTGTAGTGGCGAGTCTGGATGGTACCCGTGTGGGAAGCACCTGGACAAGTCTCTCAGGCTGAATGCGACAAAACCGACACGTTTGTTGCTTTCTTGTGGGCCACTAAGCGGAAGAGGTAAGCTAGTAGATGCTAGTAGCTATTATTAAGTAGGATGCTACTAGCCACCGAAGCAGGATTGTTCACGTTTTGCTCCCCCCCGCCACCATACAGGCGGTGGGGGCAGCTTCCTTGAAGAAGCGCTCGCACTATTCATTTAACCATCACAGCTTGGCGATCTCCCAAAACCAACCTACTGACCCCAAATTTCTCCAATCCAGGAGCTTCCACATCAAATTCCACGAACCTGTGAACCAGATTCCAACGCAAGGTGTCTCGACAGCGCGTGCCAACAAAGCCGGATTCGCACACATCCACCATCCAAATTTGGTGTTTGTCGTTTTATGCGTTCGAAGTCAACCACCTAGCGTTCAGGGTGACGCTGTTACATTTTGCCATACTTGTAACAAGAAGCTATTAGAAACAAGCCACGCTAGTAGTAACAGGTGCCTTACTGGTAGAAACAAAGAAGCTAGTAGGAACAAGTGCCACGCTATTAGTAACAAGTGCCAC